GGACAGACACAAGTTAGGACAATTTTTCCAAATGACCATTTCTTCTCCAGGAGGCAATTCCGGGAGAGAGAAGGAAACAGATGTCTTGTATAAACAAAGGCTCCTCCGTGTGACTCTAATTAGAATGACAACTAATTGAAAGCAATTTAACGGCGGTTCAGGAAAGGTTAATGAAATTCATGTTTTGGAGACACGGAACTTCGCCAGGAACACAAACCTAACCTTTCTTCTCTTTGATTATTCGGTCAGAGTGATTTCCTGGGAGCAGGCTTGTCTCTGGGTGGCTCTAATTACACACCACTGAACTTTGACGCCGACATCAGCTCATTCCACTGTAACTCAACTTTCCAGTCTGTGGTAGAACTGCAAGTTCACGGTCTAAGCAGAGGAGTGTGGAGGAGCAGGGAAGGCAAGGCTTGGGGCCTGGTTGGCGTTAGGAATCTGAGACTTCTGATTGCTTTCCCACCCTCCTAGGGGGCAAGGCGCTTAGGCACACCAATACTCCCACCACCCCCCAGGCTACCTCCTTCCGGACGACCCCCCTACCCTGTGGCCTTGGCTCACCCAGAACCCAGAAGTGGGTATTGGGCTAGCAGACCCCTCCGCCAGCGACCAGTCCACTCTACTCCTACTACCACGCCTTCCCTCAAGCCCAAACCAACCCAGGTGCTGAGTCAGTCTGACTCCTGGTGCCCCTATGTGTTGGAGTGGCACTGTGCCCAGAGGGCTCCCGGGGCTGACTTGTCTGGAAGGCGATTGCCAGGGCTGCTTCTGAAGTGTCTCTGGGTAGATCGGGCATCCAGCCTTTCCATGACCAGCTGGGCATGTGAGCTGTTTGCTCCACCCAGGGACCGGCCTCCCGCCCTCCCTCCCATGGGTGGTGTGGAGGCACCATAGAATCAACTCACAGTGACTCTGGGTACTACACAAGACACTGCCTCTGCGCCACCCTCAGAATTATGAGTCCATTGACTTACTGGGGTCTGCTTCCTCTTTTTGCTGACCTGTATTTTAGCAAACATGACCATGTTTTCCAGGAACTCGTCTATCCTGATCATCTCTCATTCGCCATGCTTCTCAGGAGCATGATGGCTGTACTTCCTTCGGCAACTCTGTTCATTCTTTGGGCAGGCCAGTCTCGTCAGTACTCTTCACTGGCACCAGAATTAAGAAGCACCACTTCTTCCCATGTAAGGCAGCGGTGACTCCACGACAGGCCGAGCCTCTTAAGGCAGGCCTGAGTTTCATTTCTCTAACAAAGTCACCCTCTCCCCCGAAATGACTGACCACATCTGGAAAGGCCTGAGTGATCACAATGACGCTGACCACACCTGGAAAGTCGTGAGTGACCACAAATGGAACGACCGAGAGTTGACTGGCTCAGTCAACCAAAATGATCTACACACCAATTGTCTCCAGATGAAGTCAGTGAACTATGGGAGGGTGAGGGGGCTCGTTTCACCCAGTGTATGTCACCTGTAGAGTATAAAAGCTTGGCTTCTGCCCCAGGCCGGGGTCCTCCTCTCGGAGGAGGCCACTGCGTTGGTGCTCTGGGACCTGGGCCCTAGCTCGAGCTGGTCAATAAACTCCTTTGTGGTTTGCGGCCTCGGTGACTCTGCCTCTCTGTTCCTGGGGCCGAGGGAAAGCCGGCAGTAACACCCGTCTTCCTGACCACCGTCCGGCTGCCGCATGCATTTGGGGGTGACTGAAAATACCATGACTGGGGTCAGCGGCACCTTAGTCCTCAAGTTGTCGTGGGCAGCAGATTCGCCACGGCACCGACTGCAGATTCAAGTAAAACGAAATCCTTGACAGCTTCAATCTTTCCTGCATTGATGCTTCCCAGTAAAATCCAAAGTGAAACCCAGGGCCATCAGTTGATGCTGGCTCACAGCGAGCCTATAGGACAGGGTAGAACTGCCCCCTGTGAGTTTCTGAAACTGCAATTGTTTATGGGAGAAGAAAGCCCCATCTTCTCCCTCGAAGTGGCTGGTAGTTTCAAACTGCTGACCTTGCGGATCCCAGCCCAGCTCGTAACCACTATGCCACCAGGGCTCCCCACCGTTCCCACTAAGAGAACTGACATAGATCCCAGCATCCCGGCAGCTCCCCCACCATTGTTGCAAAAGCCCGAGGCACGTTCAGCAGACTTCCATCTGAATAGGATGTCTTAAGTTGGCACAGATTCCAACCGGGTCCTATGGCATAGCCACATGACTGTGACACATCTCAGGGCCATGGACCTTTCCAGCAGCAGGTGGGGGACCAGCAGAATTCCTCACCACCAGCAGTATCACAACCTTGAGCGCTTGTGACCCTAAGAGATGGTGAGAAAACCTGAAAACAACCCCAACAATCTTTTTCATAGGGGTTTCCTTAGACATAGCCCCAGTGCTTGTCAAGGATAAGGGAATCTGATGGCCCCTGGGTCCCGGTGCCTGGCGGGATGTGCTCCTACCAGCCAATGAAGCGCCGGGAGGAAGGGCAGGATTTGGGGCAAGCACCCTCTAAGGCCAGGCTGCAAGACGGCCCCCGGGGTCTGACGGCCCACAGCAGGCAGATGGGCAGCTATGCACACACCGGCCAGCTTCGCCGCAGAGGAACGCCAGCACAAACACGCACGACTGGGGGGCAGAAAGCGACTCTACAACCTCCTTGGTAGTGACGGACTCTCACTGGGTGCACACCTGGGACAGGGTAGCCAGGGTCACTGTCACTCCCAAGGGACAGGTGATTTACAGAGGGGACTCTACAAGGGAGAAGTCTGGCAGATAATCTCTTAATCAAGTGACCCAACGTCAAGCCACCAGTAACGAGACAAACTGGTCTCAATCGCCACCTGGTACACGGAGGACACTGTTGCGACTGCTCTGCTGTGTCCAGTAGCTCCTGGTCTCCCGAACCGAAGAACAGACTCACGGGCCCCAAGCAGCCAGCGGAAAGCAGAGTTCGTTCAAAGGAAAGAAAGCACCTGACGCAGCAGGTGGTATTCGAGTGAGTGGCTGCTGAATGAACTGCGGTCCAGGGGTTTTACCAGGTGTGAGGGGTTTTACCAGGTGTGGGGCACTTGGCTGTCTGCATCTCTGGCTTATGAACAGACCAATTGCGGGACTGGTTCTATTTTCAGGTCCAGTCATAAACCGCTCCATGCTCTCCCCTCAGCTGGACCTTGCCTGGGCACGCAAAGGTCAGGATCAAGAGCCTTGGGTTGGATGACGGTGGAGTTTAGAATCAGCCTAGGTCTGACGCCTGCAGGCTTCAGATGAATTATCCCAGGCTGCCGAGATCCCCCGTCCAGACATCCTGCCATTTCCAGCGCTCTCTCCCACTCTGCCAGCGGACACTCTACTGCCTATCTCTAGACACCACACCACCTCGGAGAGAAAAATGCAAAAACCTGAATCCAACCATAAGCAGACAATTGGGCAAATCCAAATGAGGGATATCCCGCAAACAGCCATCCTGGACCCGGCAAGTAGGCTAGTGTTCTGAAGCCTGTTCCGGGCAGTTCTAGCCCAGGGGAGGGAAATGGCATGGTAACAAAATGCACAGTGGGACCCTTGACTGGATCCTGGTCCCGAAAGAAAAACAAAAACAACTGTAAGGGCTGGTGGCGATGTAAAATGGCGCCGCTGATTTGGAACAGACCAGCAGTTTCTCAAAGAAACACATGGAGGTCTCTTACGGCCCAGCTGCAGGGGCAGTGAACTGCTGAACGTGGCTCTTCTGGCTAAAGTCTCTAACTCCCACCAAACGACCTTTCCCTCCCCGGGTCCAGTAAGAAGGTGGGGGAAGACACTGATCAGATTCACCTCTGAGTAACTGCAAACAGGACTCCCTGGAATGCCATCCTGCTGTGTAGAAAACGTGTCCCCGGAGAAGCAGAGGGAGGAATCTTTTTACCAGCAAGAGTAAGGTGACCAGACGTTCCGTTTTTTTAACAATTTATCCCGTGTCCCGCGGCGTTTTAAAAAAGTCCCGATTTTTTGAAAGAATGCACGACAAGCTAGGGAACGACGGGAGAACGGGAAGGGAAATATAGACCAAATACTTAATCAAGAACCACCACCCCCACCCCCGGTCAATGGTGTCCCGCTTTACCAATGTTAAAATCTGGTCACCTTAAGCAAGAGCCAGGAGTGAAGTGTGTCCTCTGGATGAGTGAGCCTCCAGAATCCAGATGACAGCTGTCTCAGAGCAGCAGCAGCAGAACCACAGGCAGAGCAAGGAACGGTGCTGGGATCTCGCAACCCAGAGCGAGGAAAGCTGGCTGCTGGGCTGCAGGAGGCTGGCTCGCGGAGCAGGGCGCCTCTGGGAACTTAAGTCAGCGAGCTGGGTTTATTGACCCCCAGAGCTCCACTGAGCTGACTGCCCTCAGGTGGAGCTGACTGCCCTCGGGTGGAGCTGACTGCCCTCAGGCGGAGGCCTGTAGCAGAGTGGAATGTGCCCTTGACAGAACTCCGTAACAAGGCCGGATAACCACCTCAACCTCCAGCGAGCGACACCTGAGCCCACTGCAGCCCCCGCAGGTGAGCCGGCTCCGCCAGGACGGGGCACCAAGGGAGCGGCTGCACTAGGGTTGTTGGTGTTGCCCATCACCCAGAGTAGGAAGTCGTGCTGTTGGCGTTCCAAGCACCCTGTTTAATCCTCCTCCAGGGGTCGCTCTTCTCTGCTGTGTCAGGTCACAGCCCACATTTTGCACATCATAAAACCCCACCTTTGTCCAACAATCACACAGGGCCGCCTCAGCACAGGAAATGACAATCTCAGCGAGCGGCCTGTCTCAGGCCGCTTCACGGCAGGCCCGGCAGCTTTCTCCTCGGGAACCAGATGGTAATCATCAGCATGCCATTAGCCTCCGGTTACTTGATTTTGAGGAATCGTTTTGTAAAGATTATCTGGTGCCTAATTAAAAAAAAAATTAGACACAGGTGTAAATCGTCTCCAGTGTTCTGGCGTTATTCTGAAAGGTTATTTTAAGAAAACTTCAAACTTGAGAATTTCCATTCACGTATTTATTCCAGTCAAAAGAAATGATAATTTAAACCCATTTTTAAAAGTTAAAGGAGAATTTGGGGCACAGCTGCATTAATGAAACAGACCGGGGGTCTAAAGTGCAACCCTAAACAGACGTTCGCTGTTCCCGTGGGGGAATAAACACATAATGCTTACTACACAGGAGATTTCAGGAAGAACTGAGGCGAGGCAAACCACCCTTTGAAACAAACAGCCCAGGAACAGAGGCAGGCTGCAGAGAACTTCCATTAACATTGTACTGCATGTCGGGAACATCCCCAGGGTGACTACAAACGCCCACTCCAAGTCCACGCACCGGGGCTTGGCCCCTCTGCCTTCCTGGGTCACACCCAAACCCAGAAAGGCTCCCGCACCCATCCCTCACTCTGGAACACGCACGACCGGCAGCTGGCACCTCCGGGAAAACCGGGGCCCAGACTCGTTTGTTTACATGACAGGCCATGTGCACTTCGTGAACATGCCTAGGGTATTTTCATAACTTTTCCATTTTTCTTACAAAAAAATATTAGGTAGCCCATTCAAAGCTTTGAAAATGAAAGAAAAAAAGAGAAAGGAAACGTCAAGGGATTTATGCCCCAAAGCCCTCAGTCCTGGAAGCAAGCTCATTTGTTCCGGGGCTGGGAAGCCATGTAGAGGGCGATGAGGCAGTAGATGGTCCCGCCCAGTGTCAGCGCCATCGTGGTCCGGTACAGCATCTGGTCAGGCAGGCCCCGCTTCAGGTGGACGGGCACGCCGTCAGATTTCTGGAAGGAAAGAATTAACATGGACACGGTTGGTAGGACCAAGAACAGAGTTTACACGTCAGGCCAATAAAGAACAAATTTCTACTTTGCCACTAATCCATCACCGTCCGGCAGTGGAAAAAGCCCAAATCCATCAGCACATGAACTGAAATTTGAGTGCATTTCCTCATTGTTACAGCTACAGCCTGGAAGTCCAACTTCACTCCAGAATGCAGCCCCAGGGAACAGACATGCAACCCATTCCACGTTTCTAAAGAATTTCCCACATGCTGCTAAACTAGGAACAGGGCCCTGGTGGGCTCTGAAAGGCTAAGGAATGATCAAAGAGCAGCAGGCAGGCCCAGGGCCCGAACCACTGCATCACCCGCTTCGGTGGGCTCTAAGCACGCCAGCCCAGTGACCAGGGACAAGGTCGTTTATATCCAACCGCTTTCTCTCCTGTAAGCTGATAAACCTGTTTAATAAGGAGATTCTGTGGGATGTTTAATTAATTTACTTATCTCTAAAACCTTTACCCCACATCTCAAGGCCCCGAATGTCCCCTTGAGTCTTAATTATGCGATAAAAGCGATTAACGTGATACAAATTAAGCATGCGTTAACCCTATGCTCGCCCTGGATCCCAAGTGATCTTGAGGAAGGGGCGCTCTCCACCAGCAACAGCATCCCAGGCACGGCTACCTCCATGGCGCCCGAGATGCAGCCAGGCCCCCATGTCTCCGTGGAGCTCTGGTGCTGCAGCGGGTTAAGCACTGGGCTGCTAACCCGTAAGCCAGTGGTTCCATTCCAGCAGCCTCTCCAAGGGAGACAGGCGAGACAGTCAGCTTCCATCGAGACTCGTCTTGGGAACCCTCCCTCTGTAGAGGGCCACCCTGAACCAGAACCAATCTACTGAACTTTAATATTTCAAATTGGTCTCCTCTGGTTCTAGCAACACTTCACTGGATTTTAATAACAAGCAAAGAATGAATTCAATATCAAGCAACAATTGCTCAATATCAAGAAAACTTACTGCAAACATCAGCGCATGGATCCCCCAGTCCTCCGTGTTGGGTGAGTTACTCAGAGCCATTGTATGTGCTGCCGTCTCCCCAACCACGGGGGAGGGAGACACATGTTCATGGAACAGCACCCTCTAGAATGACGAAAACACTCGCCACCCTCCCCTGACATACAGCTCTATGAGTTTATATTCCAAACTCAGTAGAGTTTTAGTTAAGACTCCATTTCTTAAGAGGTTTAAACGGCCCCTCTCCTCAGTCTCTTCCCTCACCTGGAAAAACTTCTGCAGCTCAGGGACTTTGTTTTTCCCAGCGTAATCATAGGCCGGGTCAGCGGTGAGCTTAGTTGGTGTGGCAAATATGATAGGCGGCGCTTCGGTGGCGATGATGGGCTTCAATCCCTGCAGGGGGAAGAAGACAGTCATGTGGACACCTGTCTCACCTGAACACACCTTTCTGAGAGCGGGCTGTCCGGGTAGTGGCAGTCACCATTCCACCCACGAGAGGGGTGCGCAGACTCTTCCAGCCTTTCCGTGGTTCTCAAATTCTGACTAAAACACCCTGGACCCCAGCTCACTTCCCAAAGCAAAGTCTGTCAAGAGGTCCTTGCCATTAAGACTGATGGGGTGAACACACAGTCACAACAAGGGCCCAGCCTGGGCCTCCAGAGACACAGGCTATATATCGACCGTGTCTGGAACTACCCACCCAGCCTAGCATTTGTGATCTGTAAGCCCCTGGCCAGCAGAGCAGCCCGCTTCCCGTTAGCTGATGTCACAGAGAGGCTTCTCCCGAGGGGACGGCACAGGCACTGCCAGACACACAGTAAAGCCACACTCCATCTGTGGGAGAGTCTGAAATTATTCAAAACTTATGCTTAAGGACAAAAAGTGAGAACAAAACAAAATATTATTTGTAAGCCCATATGTTTGGAGACGGCAGCTCTCTCATCTGTAAGATGGGCATAAATAGAAGCCGCAGTCCCTACCACCAAACGGCTGGAAAACCAACACCCAAACTCACTTCCTTCAAATCGATTCCAATTCATAACAGGCCTATGGGAAAGACCTGACGGCAGGGTTTCCAAGGCTGTAAGCTATTCCGGATGCAGCCTGCCCCCTTTCTCCCGGGGAGTGAGCGAGCAGTGGTTCAAACGGCCTTTTTGTGTTAACAGCTCACACTTTAACCACTGGGCCACCACCCGGGTTCCTGGAAAGGGCTCCAAGAAGTAAATGCACGCCTAATCCAGTGTCCCACCGACAGCGTGTACTCAGTACAGTGACTGACGGGGAGCAGGGGGTGACCAGGGCGGCGTGCAGCAACCTCGCCCCCAGGAGAAAGGAGGGCAGCTCAGCAGAAGGGAATGAGCCTGAGGGCACTCTGGATTTGTATTTGAAGGCGTCAACCCTCGTTACATCTCCACGGCCAGTTCTCCCCAACTATCTGCTGATTAAAACTAGGAGCTACATACACATCGACAAAAGCAACTTTGCGTTTTAAATTCTAGCGAGGGGAGAAAAATGCTTTGCAAACGGAGCTCGGGTCCAGCCTGTTGGTTTTAAAAAGAAGAGAGACACGCCTTGCCCAAACGAATGTAGTCACTGGACTTCGGTTCTTGATCTCTTCAAGTGAATCCAAAATGGCACAGCTGACAAGCCCAATTCTAAGGCTCACGCAGGGACACCAAGCAGACGGCAGGAGCAGCAGGCAGCCGAAGGGATTCAAGCAGACTGGCTTCCTCCCAGCAGAATGGAGACAGCTGGCCTTTTCTGCTAGTGGGTCCATTCAACACGCTGCCCTGAGCACTTACTCCCCACTAGATGCCCACGCAAGTGCCCCTGCCTTGATGCAAGCAGGACCCAGCGGCACCGTCTACCTCGCCCCTGGTGTGTGCCTGCTACCGTGCCGTGCACCGCACACACATGATCTGTCAGTCCTGAGGAGAAAACTTGATCCCAGAAGGTAACCTGCCTAAGATGGCAGGAGCCACGGTTTGATATTCAAGCCTCGCTAAAATCCAGTGTGGTCCAACTTTTACTATGCCACCACAATCACTCCCACACAACAATCTTTTTTTTTTTAAGTCTGCCAGTTGTTGGCCTACATTTGCTGTTTCACACCGTCTGGGGCTCAGAGGGAGTTCGGGATGGGAAGGAGAGGCCCTAACTAGAGGTGAGGTCCGTGAGAGGCGGAAATGACTTTCGCTCAACTGCTGACTGACTGCTGTTGGGCTGAGGCTATTTCACCTCCCAGCTGCCCCCTGAGACCAGAGGGTAGAAGTGCCTGCCCAAGGGCGGGGCTGCAGTCCTGAGGGAACAGATCTGAGCAGGCTGGAGGGCCCAAAGTGCTGACCTGTGTTTGCACTGACGCCTCAACCGCTGGGCCGCCAGGGCTTCTTCCATACAGGGCTCAGCTCCACCCTGTCCCCATGCAGTCACCGTGAGTCAGAAGCAGCGGGTTCTCATTTTTAAACTCCTGAGAGAGCAAAGCTAAAAATGATCTCTTGAATTGCAGCATTTTAGAAACCCTCCATCATTTCGTGAGCTCATTGTATTTTCTCTAAGGATTATTTCCCCTTGAATGCAGAATTAAAAAACCCTTCCTACCAAGCAGTCCAAAAATGGTTTGAATGAAATTCATGTTTTGACAGGAGGACTGGGAGAGCATTCTTAGAAGGGATTACACCTAATTGCTTTGTGTTTATTCACCCATCAAATAATTCAAAACTACTACAAAGTTTTTGAACACTATCATCTCGAGAGGAGTACCAACCACCTTAATAGCTTTAAGTGTTTCCACTTACAATGCTGTAAAGTATGGGGTGTAGAATTTTAAAACTTAGCTATAATCTTATCCTCTTATCCCATCAATTACTCGGAACTGTATATTCTCCAATCGTTTTCCAGATGCATCTTTATTGTCTGTGTAAAATCCTACACCTTCGTTTATAATATACATCTTCATAATTGTCTGATTTTGCTCCTTGAGATCCTGCAAATGAGGTGTTATCAGCCCGTGTTACACATGATTAAGACAGCGCAGAGGTTCTGTAAAGAAGCTGGCCTTCAAGCTTACGCATTTTTAATACTCCAGACCATCAATAATTTATCTGTCATCATCCCCAAGGTAAAAGGGATGAATTTGGGGGTGAGGTACTTCACCTACCCATCACTCAACTGATTAGCAACTTAAGGGCAGTCTGTGTTTCTAATGTTTCAGGAAAGGTGTCCAAAGTGACCTCTTCCCCTGTGTCTCATCAACTCAATGTAGAGAAGGCCCAAATCCTCACATCTGGACCAGTAGGTAGTGTCGTAATAAACAGAGAAAGGTTGAAGTGGTCATGGTTTTCATGTTTTCTGAATCCAGAATCAATGTTGACTGAAGCAGCAGTAAAGAGGTCCAATGGCACACTGCATTGGGTAAATCTGCACAAGAGCTCTTTAGAGGGCTGAAATGCAAGGAATCTTACTTTGAGGATTAAGGTGCACCTGCCCCAATCGTCTCCATGCATGTGAAAGGTGGACACTGACTATGGGACACTAAAGAATCGATGTACTGAAATTACGGGACTGCCAAAAGGACTAACAATCTGTCTTGGAAGAGGTACAGACTGAATGTTCCTTAGAGGCAAGGACGGTGAGACTTCATCTCATGTACTCTGCACACGTGGTCAGGAGAGAACAGTTCCTGGAGAAGGGCGTCGTGCTCGGTAAAGTGGAGGGGCAGAGAAAGAGGACTGGCACAAAGAACGGCTGCACTGATTGGCTCAAACATAACAACAGCTTTGCGGATGGCCCAGGACCGGGCAGTTTTCATTCTGTCGTACGTAGGGTCGCTATGAGTCAGAATCGATTTGATGGCACCTCATACCACCATGAGCTGATGTTGTCTCTATCTCAATAAATGACAGCACTATCCTTGTGGACTCAGGCGGAAAACCTTGAATCGTTGTAAATCCTTTGGGCTCTGACTTCCAAAATAAATTCAAACCACTTCGCACCCATCTCCACCAATCCAAAACCTGATCCCAGCCACCATCATCTTGCACTTGATTTTTTTCCAAATGCCCTTATAAATGGTCACTCCGCCTGCAGCCCTCGCTGTAGACCACTTAGTGCGGCAATTCTATTGAAACAGAGGACGTCATTACTCGGCTCAAACTGCCAAAGCTCCACAGCTCACCGAGTAAACGCCAAGGTTCTCGCAGTGGCTTTTAAAGGGCCAACCAGACTGCATGTCCTGACATCCCTCCTCCCTCTGGACCAGCTTCTTGAACCTCTCAGGCACCGACGAGTCCCCTTAGCTTGGAATGCTCTTTCCGGAGAGCCACCGCCTCCCTGCCTCCTTCAGTGAGCCCTTCCCTGACCACCGACTGCAGCTCTCACCCTTCTTTGTTTTAATCACTATGAAACACATGATTTCCTGCCCACCCCACCCAGGCCACAACCCCTCCACAACTGAAGCTACCTGAGGGCAGGATGGTGGAAGGTTTTGATCACTGTTCTATTCCCAGACCTGAAAAACAACTTGCACAGAGAAGTCACTCCGCAGATAGTTGCTGAACGTACAAATATATGTTAAGAAAGGTCACAGCATCAGCCACAACGTACAATTGAACAATTCCGAACCAGTCATGTAAATGAGCACTGATGGCAGACAGCTGACATTGAGAAAACAGTTAAAAACTGTTCAAACCTAAAAAAAATCAATCAAGTGTCACTGAATCCAAACCCCATTTTAAATTCTTGCTAACAGTCTGACTCTCCATTCCTACTCAGAAGGCCCTGAACTATTTAGTGTATAACAGGTGCCCCACCCGGCTCTCTCCTGCTCTACTTCCGGCAGGGTGCTCTTTACTTTAGTCATAAACCTTACATCACTGAGTCGCAGGTAAGAAGAATGGCCTATTTCAAAGTCTGGACAAGACTCTTATTATAACTCAAGCACTTTGTAAGTTCCTACTTATTTCTGACATTAGACCCCACCATCCTAGGTCCTTCTTGTTCTACACCTCTATTCCCCAAAACCAAGCATTCTCTCCTCT